AATGCAGTGATAACACTAGATGCCATGAGTGCTTCCTGTATACACGCAGAGCACCGTATACATTTTCTGATTTTGTTAGCATAGTAACTGTGAGGAAGTAGCATTTTCCGTTTATTGCTGGGGAAACTGAGGGTCAGCAGGTAGATGACGTGCCTTATGTCACGCAGCTGGTATGCGGCGGCGGGACTCGATTCTGCCCTGTTTGCTGCCAAGGCCTACTTTATGCTGCTGCTGTTGTTATTGTTAATGGGTCATGTGGCGTAACCTCTTTATTCCTTATTTTTAGAGGGATTCATCTTATCCTTAAGGGTCCTTCTCCAAAATGCCATGATTATTTAAGGGTTCACTTTTTTAGCATCCTTTCAGAAGAATTTGATTCAACTAGACCATGCTTTTTATATATGTTTTTAATGGTGGACAAAAGGAATAAGATCCTTGTTTTAGAGAGAACCCTTTTCAGTCACAGCCCATGAAGCTGTCCACATACAGGTGTCTTTCCACTGGGCCCTCGCACACAAGGCGCACGGCTCAGCCGAGGCCCGGGTGGCTGACGTCAGCACAGAAAGGAAGCTTCACCTGTGTCTCTGTTCCAGTGCACCATTTATATGTGAAGTCTTATGGGGTTGGTTTTGTTTTGTATTTGACATTTGAATTTTAGTCACTACTTACAAAGCCAAGAAAACATGCTAATCTACCGAGAGCTTTCTACTTGATTATACAAGAAGAAAATAAAAATCTAGTAATTTTGCCATTTTGATAAGCTTTTAAATTGGAGAAAAGATTTAAAGCAGAAACAGTTTTGATGTTCCGTCTGCTGTGTCAAGTGTACTCTTGTGGCATAAAATGAAAATGTGTTGCCATGGCATTTCTGTTTTTCAAAATTCTGCTGTTTTGTTTGAAGCTCCTCTGAGAACAGAGCTGCAGGAGCCGTACATTAGCTGTGAACACCATAATGGCAACTGGAGGGCACACGGGTCAGGGCTTAGTGGTGCAGTCCCTGGGGAAGGAATGTCCAGGCTGGTGTCACAGACCTCCGCTGCAATCAGTGTAGCTCACTGTCCGCTGGTAACGCCTTTAAACTACCACTCTCTCATCCACAAGTGGAGGGAAACCATTGTATTCCCTCACAGGCTGCTGGAAAGATCAGGTAGGATGCCATACGTGGGAGCTGCATGGGACGGGAGGTGCTTGGGGATAGCGTTGCTCCCTGTCCATTTCAGCTAACAGCTACTAAGTCCTCGCATTCAAATTAGAACTCATCAGCACTTGAAAAATTCACATCTGTGCTCACAGGAAAATAAAATAAACATTGATATTAAAATTTTGTTTCTACCCTGGGGTTTTTTTTTTTTTTTTTTGCTTAGTATATTTTTATAGAATATTTCTGTTGCTCATTCAACATAATTTGTTACATGCCTGCATGGACTAGATGTGGTTTGATATGAAAAGTACTAGTGTTACAATTTCCAAGACATTTCTCTCGTATTTATGGGCCTTAATGAGTTCAAAGCTAGTGAGGGGAAATGGGTATATAAGTAAACTATTCTGTGGTAGGCAGAATAGTGATCTGAAGGGCATCCACATGCTAGCCCTCAGGCCCTGACAACGTGATCAGGAAAAGGAAATCTGCTGTTGTGGTTGAGTATAATGGCCTGAGTGAGGGAGAGCATCCTAGATTAGCTAGGAAGGTCCAGCCTAGTCACATAGGTCCTTCAGAGCAGGAAAGCTTTCCCTGCTGTGGTCAGAGGGAAATGCAACCACGTGAGAACAGTTGAGAGGTGAACCACGTGGGTCTGGAGATGTGGCAGGGGTCCAGGAGTGAGGGATCCAGGCAGCCTAAGCATCGGGGAAGGTGGCAACAGTGTCTTTCCAAGAGCCTCCAGGAGGAAGCAGTCCTGCTGACATGACATCTGAGGTATAGAATCAGAAAACAGTACATTTGTGTTATTTAAAGCTAATCAATTTGTAGTACTATACTGATATCAGAGCAAAACAGTAGCAAAAGTAGATACTGCCCCTATGTTATGGGACTTGCACTACAGTTAGTAATCAGGTAATCACACATTTGCATTCGACTGTGATGCATTGGAAAGGCACTATATGGTGCTTCGAGACAGGGCCAAGGTGTAAGCTGACATGGAAAGAACACACCTCCACTAAGCACAGAACAGTGAGAAGGGCGTTTCAAATAAGACAGCACACACAAGTCCTCATGGCCAGCCTGTTCAGGACACAGAAAAGACCATGTGCCTGAAACAGAGACAGAACAAGGCCAGACACTCTGAGGCCACAAGAAGAATATGTGCATTCAGTCTACCTAACCACACCCACTGCTCAAGCCACAGTTTAGTGCAATTTTCCTCATTTCAATTTGTAATGCTCTTCTTCTACCAAACTATCCCAATTTATCATGCTGGTAAACTTTTAAAAGATACACAAAAGTATACCAATTGATGGGAAGAAGGGAGGCTCAAACTCATTACTTGTAACCATGCAAGTCTTTATCTCAACTTAACTCAGCTACTGTTGCTGCAGTGGAGCGCTGGTTCTGGCTGCTAGCAGACCTCAGCTCCTAGCCCCTAACTCTATAGGAAACTTGCAGGCCGCCCCTGCTTCTCCAAGAAATTGACTGCAGTGGGAGTACTAATGCAGGAATTGGGAAGCACTATAAAGCCGGCAAATCAGGGCCTTCCTACCACTTTGTTCCCTTTAGAACTGTGGTATTGAGGAGTTGGTTGGGGTGCAGAAAACCCAGCAGTGAGGCTGATGAAGTACTGCCCATTTCCTTTAACACATTCTCCAGTGTCACCGCTGAATTGTTTGAACCTGCTGTTCAGTTCATGGCTGGATATCCTTGGTGCTCCTAAGGAATTTCATTTGTGAAGATACATCACAGCATTCTTGTAGTGATTTTTTCCACTTTATTAGACTGCTCCATTTAAGTACAGCAATAAGGTGTTAAAATTTCAGTAAATATTAAATCAAGTTGATAGGTTCATTGTGCTGTTTTTGTACTTCTGTGTAATGTGTACATATAATTAAAAAGAAAAAGAAGAGAAAGCAGCTGGCCTGAGCTCATTCTTGGTGATCTTTCATCTGTAGTCTCAATCCCACCAGCTGCTGGTGGAGACACTGTACCACTTAACAGAGATAATAAAATAATTGCTAGCTAAGTATTGGAGAATGGAAGGCAGCAGAAAGCACTGAGATGGTAATCAAATGATAGTCACAAGACCAGTGTCACAAGCATCTCCCTGAAACTTGTGAGAAAGGCAGATTTGCAGAGTCCAAGCCTCATCCTGGCAGTCTGCTCTTACAAGCTCTCAAAGGCATGCTAAAGTTTAAATACCACAAAGATAGCAACTACCAGAAGGAGCCACTACTCCTGGGGCGGGGGCAGCAAACAAAAGACAAAATTTACTAAAACTGAGAGGGTTGAGGAAGGGCCCCATAATGCTGAAACTCATGCTTCTGAGAACAGCTCAGCACTCACCACCAATCCCAGCGTCTTTGAGTTTAGGGAGGCCCCACAGACTAGAGCACCAGATGTCTGAGGAGGGGGGAATCCAAAGGCTGCACACTGAGGCAGGTTCTGTGGATGCTTAGAACCTCCTGGATGGCCATTGGCTTGTCACTGCTGGAAGGAACTGCTGCTACCAGAGCGCGGAACTGTTCATCAGGGATCCAGGAACCCACCCAAGGCAACAAGAGACCAAAGTCACTCCTTTCTTCTATATCTAGACAGTGTTTATCCACTCCCTGTATTGGCAGAACCCAGCAGGGAGCCAGAAGTGTTTGGAAAATTCTAAAATGTGGATATTTTTCATTACCAAAATAAAATACCTGAGTCAGGCTCACTTTATAAAGAAAAGAGGTTTTTTGAACTCACAGTTTGGGATAATGAAACCTAGATGGCTTGGCAAGGGCTTCCCTAGGGCTGCCTGGGCTCAAGGTGGATTGCATGGCAGGGGCTTGTGCTAGAGGAAGAGAGGACGCAGGGAGGCAGGGAGCCAAGGGAACTGGGTGGGATGGGGAGCAGGCTTTTGTAACAGTCCTTTTGCCAGAATTAACCAGGGTACCCAGGAAATACCTTAGTCCCTTTGAGGGGCATCCTCAGGTGTTATAGCTTTTACCTCCCTGCACTGAAAACCAAGCTCCTAACAAACATACCTCTAATGGGAAACAGAATCCAAACCCAAAAACTGAGTTTAAAGCTAAGAGATAATAGCTTAATAATCGGCATCATGGTTCATAGGATTGAGATAGCAGAAATAGTAAATAGTTTTTCTTGGCACTGGCTTCTAGATAAGACTTATGCTCTTACTGTAGAAATCCTTCAAACTACTTGTTTTTATTAGATTAACAGGAGGCACTTGGGGCTTGGTAGCAGTTAGACAGGAAACTGTGCACGGCCCACCGTGAGATCTGCCTCGTGGAGGCTCACGCTGAGCCATCACGGCAGTAATAGCTGAGAACTGCTCACAAGCCAAGGCACTGTTTATTCATGTCTTGGCGTTAGAGGAGTGGACTACAGAGAAGTTACCTGGACAGCAGGCAGAAGTCCAACTCACAAAACTGGAGTAGCAGAAGCGGTTCTATAAGCAGGGCCACTGACAAAGAGAATCCCACACAGGAGCCTTCACTGAAGCACCCATCTGGGTGCAATTCCAAGAAACCAGAGAATCAGAAAGAGTTTCTGACTCATTTCTTCATTTGTAAATCAGTGTCCTGTGGTGGGAGGATCAGCCAATGTTGATTCCACAGAGGTCGGCAAATTAGTGCTGTCCTCCTCCTAAGAGGGCAGGTATGGGCAGTGCTGTATATGTCAGGCAGAAGGAACATTCCTGTTGGGTTAACAAGCACTCACTAAATGATTATCAGAAGTATGCCCAGTATCTTCAAAGATAGGAAAGAATCGTGAGATAGCTGTTACTTTCGAAAAGACCTTTCATAAGTCCATTTTATGTTCATATTTTGTTTTGCCTTTTTTCTCTCTTCAGGATATTGAAGAATCACAAAACCACACTGCTGAGCCTGTTGCAGATGATTACAAAAAGATGGGAACACTTTTTGGCGAACTGAACAAAAATCTCCTCAACATGGGCTTCACAAGGATGTATTTTGGAGAGCTAATTGTGGAGCCAGTAGTGGTCATTTTCTTTTGGCTGATGCTTTGGTTCCTTGGCCTACAAGCCCTTGGACTAGTGGCTATGCTGTGCATTGTCATTATTTGTGTTCAGCAGTAAAACGTGGTCAACTGAATTGCTGGACATTTGGTAGCAGTGTGTGTAACAGATGAAGTTATATGTTTCGGCTTTTTGAAAGCCAAAAATGTTTGACTTGATTCAGAATGTGTGGCTGGCTGTTTTATAATTAAATTTCTAAGTGACTGTTGTTCACAACAAAACTAAACTCTTGGTTATGACAAAGTTGGACACATATTTTGAATATACATAGCTTTTTCAAAACCCTTGTTTCGCTCCTATGATCTGTACCCACTTTTAGACACCTCTGACACTCTGCTACATCTTAATTAACACTACCAGACAGCAGGGGAAATAATACATGAAGTTCAAGTCAAGCAATATAGTTTTTATAAAGAGTTCAATAAAACATTTTAGAAGAAAAAGGAAATGAGCTTGAAAGTTTTAATTTGAAAGCTGCACCACCTCCAACTTCATCAGATAATTCTGTTATTTGAGGAATACTTGTATTGGTATTGTCCTTGCTCAGCCCAAGCCAAGATTAAATGATAGTTATCATACACTACCTTAATTAGTGGTAAAAATGAACAAAGCTAGCACATTTTCTAAAGATTGAAAAGAATATGTTTATTATTGCTGGGGAAAGTTCTCAGGCTAAATACTCTTTCTTAATAGCATAATGCCTGGCCCTAGAGTTTCTTCAGTATATCATTTGAGGTTGTAGACAGTTTTGGTGCTAATTACTTTTTGTGAGTGTTTGAAGTCTCATCAGCCAAGCCCATAGCTGGCTGTACCCCATGGTAATACATAGTTTGTTGTATCCAACAAGTTGCAGATTTTTCTTAGACATTTTCAGTGTATTTTTTTCAAAAATTTATAATTTTATACTTTTTTATAACAATTGTTCTAAGATTTAAAACTATATATTTACTATCTTAACATGAATCCCCCCCCCGAAACTGATCTATAATTTATAGGTATTCTAAGAAAAACTTTCAGGTCACTTTTCTTTGATATCTGTATTGGAAAGTATAGTAGTATAATACAAAATCAGATCCTTAAATTTGACACTTAACAGCCAATTATAATATTCTTCCAAATCTAAAGCCAAATCACTAAGTACTTGGCTGCCATGTTATAAATGTGTATTAATTTAGCAGTGTGAGATTTTATTTAAGTATATTTTGAAAATAGAATATGACTTTAGTGATATTTTTGATTTTCCTAGAGAACCTAAAATCTTTACACTTTCAAGAACAAAAGAATGGTAGTTAAGGTAATTATCTAGAAGTCTGAGTACCTAGGCAGTGGGCATTTTCATTTTGGGTGTGGCAATAACCAAAACCTGTAAGAGTGTTTGCTGTTCCACTCTGTAAAGTTTCTGACCAATCTAGTTTTAAAAATTTATTCTGCGAGTTCTTACCATCTTTTATGCTGAAAGAAAATCTTTAAAAGGAAAACATTTAGTTTAGATTTCTAAAATCAGACAACTCTAAACAATACCAATCAGGGACAGAAAGAAGCATTTTACATTTGTATAAATACAGATCTTTTAAAATTTGACTTCTGAAAAACAAAACGCTTTGTACTGTATTATTGTGTTTTTATTAGGTTTACAATATTTTTATAGCAAACTTAATGAGCTTAGTGTAAGTGCGTTTGGAAAACGTTTTCATTTGTATACAGTACATTTGCAAGATTTTCAGTAGATGTGAGATTTTTTTGATATTTGCATAAAATATTAATATGTGCATTCTTTTATAAAACTACCTGGACTTTTAATTTCCCTTAGGAATGCAAAACAATGTAGTATAATAATAACCACTCTGGGTCCACCAGCACCTGTGGTTGCCTGCTGTACGCGAGTTCCCATGTCATTCAGTCCGATGTGCGGACTGTGCCTCTGCGCACTGGTGTTTAATGGGGTGTTATTAGATTAGAGAGAGAAATGGGGAGTGTGCTGCTGCTCTCCTTTCTACCTGTGTCGTTGGTTTATGCAGTATGCCATCAAATCTTTTGGTCTCATGTAGGAGAAAATTACGTTTATTTGAGGAAGATTAAATATTTTCTTTAAAGAAATATATTACACTATAGAATGTACAAATGTCTTGACATGAAACTTAATTTCTTTGGTTCATGGTATAAGAAATTAGATTGAAAATTATTCTTAGTTATTTCAACCTCAAATCTAAGCCAGAGAAACTGTTAAATGCCAAAAAGAAACAGAAGATGGGATACAAAGGTTATTAGATAATTAATGTGTACTTCGCCCAGAGGAAAGGGTCAGATCTGTGAATACTGAATACAGTGGCTACATGAGAAAATCAACCTCCCATTACTGTAAACCTGCTCAGTGCCCGTCCTGGTGAGCTTGATCCATGCTGAGCCCCGGGGCCCTGGCCGGGGGCTGGACTGGCCTGCGGCCCGCTGTGCAGCTTCAGCCCTCAGTGACACCAGGTCTGCAGCTTATCCGGCGGGGTGGGGTGAGCACAGCAAGCAGACCTGCAGCCCTGGCTGCTTCCCGGTGCCTTCTTCATGCCTGTGGACAGGAAAGAGAACCAGAAGGGATGTCGTGGTGTGAAAGACACGCGTGTGCGTGTCTCCCTGCTGACCCTGCAGAGCCATGGCTCCCTTCGGGAGCATCTCCTTTCATCCGCTGATCCCAGAGCAAACCCTGGCCTGCTTGGGGAGCTGGAACGGCACTGAGGGTGCGGTGTCCTGGATGCAGACAGAGCTGGACACAGAAGCGGGCACTGGTACTCCGGCCAGGGTCCCCGGTCACTTAAGCCCAGATTGCCGGGCACTGGGCAGTCGAGGGCGGCTAGTAGATTAAATTTTAAGTTATTTTACAAATGTTCATTGATTTCAAGTTATTTAAAATGAGCTCAATTTCCAATCTTGTTTTGAAATTCTGTATCACTTGTATTTTTTTATTCTCTATAAAATAAAATGCTCTCAGTACCAGCGTGTGGCTTTACAAGGTGAAGGAAGAAGAAAACAAACCAAGTAAGACTCATATCGGTTAGTACCTTTAGTGCTAACTGCCAAGGATGTAAAATAATACACGAATTCATCTTCAGGATTAGTAGCAGACCTAGAGTCCTTTCAATCCATTTCTCTGCCCGGCACTTAATGTCCGGTGCTTCTTGGGGCTCAGTCCAACATCCTGCCCTTTCAGCACTCTCCACCCTGCCTGGAGCAATGTCACCACAACCCTAGCTTGGAGTACCATTCCCATGCTAGCAAGTCCCCCGCTGTCTCTCCGGGTCAGAGTGCTACACAGACTACTCGGTGTTGACACTTGGTTATCCCTGAGACCGCAGCGTGTCCAGAAAGAGCTCAGCACCCTTCAGCCAAGTATTATGCTGTGTAACCTTCCAAACTAATGACACCATTCTCTCCTCAGTTGCTCAAGTAGGAACTGGAGAGGGATCCTTAACCAGTCTCCCCTGCACGCCCACCTATAACCAATCACAGTACCAAGTCCTATTTCATTCCTAAAAGTGTCTGAAATCTATTTCTCTTCATTCCCAGCATCCCTTAGAGCTTACCATAATCACCTCACCTGGAATTCTATCACAGGATTCTGAGCTCCCTGCCTTCATTTCCTACTGTGTGATCAGCAATCTTTCTCAAACATAACTCTGATCATAACCTAACTATTTTAATGGCTTTTGCTGCCATTATGATAAAGCCCTGGCTCCATTAACATTTTCTGCAAGACTCTTCAAGAACTGATTTTTTCACACCTAATACATTATAGTACCAACCCTTTCCAAGAGTCAGCTCTACTGAAAATAAATGTTTGTTCTTTGAAAGAAACATACTTTAAGAACATTGTACATGTACTTACTTTAATCCCTCCCTATGGAACTGACCAACACCCACACAGCCTTAAATCTTCACCTTAGACATCGTGTGCTCCAGGAAAGCTTCTGACTCCTTCAAGTCCGGTCTTGTTACCCCATTGTGTGCTTATTTGTCCACGTGTGGAATCTTGTGCTTTCCCGCTAGCACGTCTCACACTGTACTGTAATCACTGCTTTGTCAGCTCCCGCATTAGCCAGTGGACTTTACAACAGCAGGGAACGTGTCTGTCACGTCCATAATCCCATTCCTGGTGCCTGACACAACACCTGACACAGAACAGGTGCTCAGAACACGTCAGGTGAGTAAATCAATTCCATGTATTCATGTTCTCTCCATGGCCCATTAACAAAGAATTTCTAGATTTGGTTGACTTTAGAGCTCTTGGACTCCAAAAATATTGTGCATAAAGAAAGTAGTTTTATGTATACATTTATTTGTAAGGTTCATTCACTTTTAATGGAAGAATTTTGCTGCTTGCACGCATATACCATATTGCTACTCTACACTTGTAATTTTAGGAAAAAATCTGTCTTTTGTCACATTGGTTGACTCACTGTTGCTCCGAAAAGGATATTTTACAGTGTATTTGGTCACTGATGCTACTAAAATTTCATATTTTGCCATATTTTTCAATAGACCTTTGCTAAATTTTAATTTTTTGAAAATCTCTGAAGCAGTCCTTCTTACATTTCTAAACTTGATATTTTAGGCTGCGAATAAATTCAGTGTCTAGTAATGCACATGTTACATGTTGAGTGCCATGTATATGAATTACTTTGTTATTCTTCCTAATAAATATGCTCTTTTACGTCTCTGAGTGTCCCTGACTCCCAGTAGGATGTTCTACTAGTCAGTCTGGTGTTGCTGCATCAAGCTTGGAAATTTCCAAAGTGACCTGAGATTCCTTGTTTGTCCACTTGTCTCATCCCCACTGCTGGGTCAGAAGGCCAAGGTCTGATGTGTGTATCTGTGTATCTAGCCTTTGGGGCAAAAGAGAAGTGGAAAGGACCTCTGCCTCCAAGCCATATTTTTTCCTTTCTGCTGTCTTGATTATTACCTATGTTAGAATTGGTGAGTGAATTCTGAAGAGGCTCACTAAGATTCAGAAAGAGTCATTCAGATGCCTACAAAATTTCAGTTATCTTTTCAATAAGTAAAGTCTTTTCATTTAACCTTTCATCAACTTAGTTGGAAATTTCTTTGCCAGTTTTCCAAAACACCACAGAATAAGGTAACTTATCATAAGACTATAGGTATCTTTTCTGTGATATGCTTTGATATATTTGTTTGATTCATTTTTGTAGAAGTTTTCTAATGGAAGAAAAGTCTGCGTATCATTTACTTATTAACCCCATAGATGATTTATAACAAAACCTTTAAATAAGTTTTTTTCTGGGAGAAGAGGGATGTGTTCCAGGCAATGTGCCATCCACCAGATGCCCTTTTGTGGTCTATCACGATTGCTTCTGTTCATACGCTTTCCTGGTTTTAGGCGCGCAATATTTAAAATAGCTATGTTTGTATTACTTAACATATTTTCTCTTTTTAAAGGCCCAAGGTTACACATTAGGTAGCACATATCAACACAGATTAGTGGGGCCAGCCATGTAGCTCAGTGATGCAGCGCCTGCCTGGCAAGTGTAAGATCCTGAGTTCAATTCCCAGTACCAATAACAATAATAATAATTTAGTTACTGGAAACTTTCACTCACATAAGTTTAATAAAAATTGGCTTTTTTTTAAAAAGCAAAGGTTGATGAACAACTACAAATGGAAAACATTCCTTGGATATTAGTCTTACATAAAACTATAATGGTAACTTTTCATATTAAGTGAAACATTTGTTTAATGTGAACCCAGAGATTTTCAAAGATTTTTAATTTGCTTTAACTGAAATCCTACACGAAAACCCAATATACAGATACTTCTCGGCTTACCGTGTGGCTGCATCCTGATGAATGCAATGCAGAACTGCCCAGCTCAGCACCACAGTGCTGTAACCCTCTGCTGCTCACCCATGGAGTCGGGGACCAGCAGCTGTGGCCTCCTGCCACTGCCCAGCACCCGGCCTGGAAAGATCAAATGTGGCATGCGAGGTGGACTCTCCATCAAAGACGTGTTGCTTCCACACCATGCGAAGTTGAGAAGCTGTGAGGGAAACGTGGATGTCAGGACATCCTGTGCATGAAACGAGCAGCTTCCTGGGAAGCTGACCCGAGACTTCAGCTTAGGGTGCGCCTGGCCTGTATCCCTGCTTCGGGCCAAGAGGCAGGCGGCACAGAGCAGCCCCTGAGGTGCTCTGAAATGCCATGGTCCTCAGGGATGTCGCATGCTGGGTCAAGCAGCTCACTTCTGCTGAAAAGCGATTTTCAGGGAGGCTGAGGCCACAGGTTGCCATCCAGCAGCATACCCAGCTGCCGTCAGAGTAAGTCAATGAGTTCAGAAGGGAGGATGGGGCAGCATGACTGCATCCTCTGCATCCCATTCTCCTCTCTCCTCACCCACCGTGGAGGGGACGGGGAGGTAGGGATTGGAGAGGTAAAAAGACCTGAGGTCATTGGATGCAGAAGGCATGTCATCGCGGACTGCAAACATGGACTCATGAAAATAGTTTGTTAAAAAAATGAAAATTACTCAGCCACAAACTCCTTCTTAAGAAGGCCTCTGTTCCGTTTGATGCCTGGCCCCTCTTCCAGGAAGCAGGTCTCCAGTCGGGTGTAGCATTAGTTGGCTAACTCGTAAGTCTAGGGACCCCGCAAAGACCCGAGGCTATCAGGACTAGATAATCAAATGATTCCTCTAGTTAAAAGGCCATTGCTTACAGGAGTGGGAAATTTCTGAGATTCTGTACATACAAGCTGCTCAGACCACACTGAGGCTAAGTGAGATTCTGTACATACAAGCTGCTCAGACCACACTGAGGCTAAGAAGCTGTCCGGCAGGGCCTCAGGAGACATCAAGTCAAACTGTCCTCATCCCAGCATATCTTTTTTTAAAAATTATTTATTTATTTATTGTAATTTAAAGAAAAACTAAACAAAACAAAATGGATAGAAATAATATATACATTCAGAGAAAAAATAAACAGTAAGAAATCACTAGTTGATGTTTACATATTGTCATTTAACAAATAGTTGTTCAAGATACAAAAATGGAACATATAAAATGGGGATTCAAACAGCAAGACTGCAAACAGTTCTGTTCAACTATCCAACACAAACTTAGTAACATGGTTGTCAATCCTATACACTTAAACATACATGCAGTTATCCATAGCTTTAATTATGTTGAAATTAAACTAAAGCAGGCTAAAATCATTCTGAACAAAAAATAATAGTATTGCTGGATTTCACATCATGACACTCCGGGGTCAGCACTGGGTACTGTAGTGTTTTTTTAAAAAAATTTATTTAAATAATGACTAAACAAAACAGAAAACGGGTAGAAATAATACGTACGTTCAAAGAAAAAACAGTAAGAAATCACTAGTTGATGATTACAGATTGTCCTCTTACAAATAGTTATTCAAGATACTAAAGTGGAGCATATAAAGTGGGGATTCAAACAGTGAGATTGCAACCAGTTCTGTTCAACTATCTATCAAAAACTTAGAAAAATGGTTATCAATCCTATACACTTAAACATACATGCAGTTATCCATATCTTCAATTATGGTGGGATTGAACAAACCCAAGCAATCTAATATCACTCTGAACAAAGAATAGTACTGTTGCTGGGTTTCACATTATGACATTCCAAGATCAGCACTGGGTACTTTAGTATCTCTTTTTCTTCAAAGTATTTGTTCATTTCATCATGTGTCATAAGATCAGTTCTTATAAACTGTTTATAGATTCTACACATGCATGAGTCTTAACATGTATTTCTATCCTTTCTATATTAGAGGGAGAAACGTAACAAAACATATTCCTATAAACACATGAAACAAAAAAGACATACAAGACCATTGTACAAGGAGTTCTACCATAGTTCCTGTGTTGTCTCTTGTTATCTTCAATAGAATTGGCTATATCATCAGACATAGTATAATTGAATATATCAGTACCTAACAGTATTAATAAAAGCACAAC